AAAACCACCATAAATGCATTCCATACTTTTGAAATATTCTAAAATATAACCTACTAATGAAAATTTGTATCAACTATAAAGAATTATACATCCTGTCTCTAGGAAAACTGAGTTAAAACAGACAAAAATAAGGCAAATGTAAACACTTTTAAGAAAAAAAAAAGTAAGCATTGTATGAATCTCTGAATTTTGCATTTTTGGTATCATGCTTTCCCAAGGAGTTCAAAGCACAAGAAGAAATGACGTGCATTCACTCTCTGGTGTCTGTAAACTTTACCTCTGTCCCTTTCCCTAGACGGGACAATTCAAGGCATGGGAAGTCACTTTCTTTTTTTTTTTCACACTGGGTCCTTTTAAGCAGTGTCTAAACTTCTCAGCATTGCCCTCAGGTGAAAATCCAAAATAAAATACTGTACAAACAACAACAAAAAGAAAGCATGTCTGAAGAGAATAATTATTAAAACATACATGCATACACGGCAACTTAAAAAGTATTGCTACATATCCCAACACTATACAGAAAAACACACCAGCAAAATAAAGGATTACAGGGTCTCTTTAACCAAAACTGTGGCTGAGAAATTTAGTTAGAGTAGATCTTTCAAGTTAGCTGGATGAGATCTTTCCATTTAACTGGATTAGACGTCACAAAGGTGCACTTGATCTAAGCCGTGATTTTTTCAATTACTTTCTATGCATCTGAAAGTCAGACAGTGAATAAGGATGACAGAGGAAGAATCCATGCCTTGCACTTGTTTTGTTGGAGAACTAGAGAAGAGTATTGACTATTCCACAAAGTCTCAAAAGAACAAACAGGTTTATCTTGGAGGAAGTGCAACCAGGATGCTCCTTGGAGGCAAAGATGGTGAGACTTCATCTCACATACTCTGAGCATATTTTCAGGAGGGGCCAGTCTTTGGAAAAAGACATCATGTTGGGAAAGGCGGAAAGTCAAAGGAAGAGGAGGACCCTTAACAAGAGAGAATGACATAGTGACAATCCTGAGGGCTGGAGCGTATTGGCGATTATGAGGATGGCACAGGATAGAGCAAGGTTCCCATCTGTTGTTCACGGGATCACCATGAGTCGTAGACCAGATGGCACACAACAACAACAACAACAGACCTTTCATTTGTGAGATGCAAATCGACTCCTGAGAATGAAATGTTTACACAGTGGACCTGGGAGGCGAGGGACAGCAGCACTTGATCATTTTCCCTGATGGTCTGACAAGTGTCCGGCCTCCTTCTCAGGTCCTGGGAGACGGAAGGCCAAGCCAGGTCCCGGCCAATGCAGAGAAGTCGGAGCGGTGCTGGCACTGGCCTCGTGCCTGGGCTCTGTAGAGAGTCTTGTCTCTAACACTCAATCTGGCTTCCTAAGTTGGACAAGTTCCTGACAGATACCATTATGTTCGCGATGGTACGGCTCGTATAAACACAGCGGCAGCTTGCCGTATTCTTTCAATGCTGCTGTGGTTTTGAAGTTTAATTTCATGCCAGTAATGTAGATTGTGTAGCATTGGTCTTGTAAGGAGTGGAGGGGGAAAAAAATCACTCTTCATAGTCTCCAGCCACAAATCTGAAAACAAAGTATACCGCAATAATATAGCAAAGAAGTGAATTTCTCAGGAAAACATTAGTGCTTCTGCTGATAAACATGAAAATAAGAATAGACGCAAGGGTGCGGTCCACCTTGATGATGAGGGGCTCTCGGTCCTTCCTGATAAGTCTGCACAGGGGGCTAACCCTAAAATGCTAACGTTCCTTCCTTGTCCTGCTTGCATCAAATCTGTTTTAGGGGATGTTCAGATGTTGACAACTTTTCTAAGGTTACAGACACTTGGGAGAAAAAGAGTAAGCTATGCATTTGGACTTCATTCAAGAATGTGATCTATAATTCTTTATGGTCTAAACATTTATTAACACCAATAGAAGAGAAAACAAGCAAAAAAAGAGACACAAACCCCCCCCAAAACAAGAAAAAAGACAGCCCTAAGATTAAGTTAATTCCAACTCAGGAGACCATTTGTCAGATTTTGTATAAATCTTTATGGAAGGAGATGACCCATTTTCCTCCTGAGAAATGGCTGAGGGATTTGAACCATTGATCTTTAGGTTAGGCAGTTTGCTAGGCAATGCAACTATGGCACCAGGGTTCCTCCTACACTGTAGATTTTCCTTAAGTTGTTGTTTATAAGTAGCAAACAGTTGTGGGCAAATTCTAGAAGATATTGTTGAAAGGGTAGAGCAATTACAACTAGGCTTGAATCTGACGTGTATTTCTATGAAGCCCTATGTTTAGTTAAGAACATATTAGAGACTTCTTACAGCAGCTGTTTATCCTTTCAAGTTAAAGCATTTATTTTAATGTGCACCATGCTTTTTATGTAAACAATATGTGTCTTCTATATTTGGTTTCCAAACTGCTTCTCCCTGTGGGTAATATTATTATTAATGGGATATGCTATTATTACTTTTTTTTTAAGACCAGCAACATGTGAAAAAAAAAAGCTCAAGAGCACTTAAAAAAAAAATTGAAAAAAGGGAAAAGAAAATTTTGGCAAAGAAAAAAAAAAAAAAAATAAAAACAAAACCAGAAGGAGTCTGTTACTTGCTATAAAATGTGTTAACAGAGGAAAATAACTGGAATTTAAAAGTCACCATTTCTTTTTTTTTTAATCTTTATTTTTATTTTGTGTGTGTGTGTGTGTGTGTACTGTTAAATCAGATCTGACTGGTACAGGAGGAGATTGTCCCACCTTCTCTAGCAGAGCATTTGATGGATTTGAGAAAAGTCACCATTTTTTTAAGGAAGCTATTTTTTAGGACAGGACTGATTAAGTAGTGTTGCTGTTGTTGTTAAGTGCCGTTGAGTCGTACACGACTCATAGCGACCCTATGAATGAAAGGCCTGAGCACTGTTCTAAGAGTTTCTGGAGGCAAGCCATTTCAGAAGTGAATGTCAGTGCTGCTTCCAAACTTGTTTAGTATTAGGTTGTATAATAAGTAAAAAAAAAACTACAGCCAGTGCCGTCAAGTTCAGCCCACAGCAACCCTGCACTGGGTTTCCATGGCAGTAAATCTGAAGAAGAGATTGCCTCCTCTGTCTCCTGCAAAGCAACTGGTGGATTTGAACTGCCGACCTATAGATTAGCAGTGCAACACCCTACATACTCTGCCATAAGAGCAGCTTATAGTATATTATTAGAAGTGTATTAATGCAAAGAAAACAACTAAGTAATATTAAGTAAATAATAGTTGGTGCATGGATGTGGCAAAGCCATGAATAGGAAATGCCATTGCTGTTCTGTGCCCTTGAGTCACAACCAACTCACAGCTGACCCTCCAGAGGGTTTTCAGAGGCTGTAAATCACACAGGAAGAGATTTCCCAGCTTTCTCCCACAGAAGAGCTGGTGGATTTGAACCACTCACCTTTGGGTTGGCAATGCAACTCTTTATTTACCTTCTAGGCCACAAGATCTCTCTAGTCAAATGTGGCCTACAGCCTGGTTTTAGAAAGAATTATTTTTTATTAAAACACAATGGTTGTGACAAAATAATGATTCCCCTAAATGCCCACATCTTAATCTTTGGAACCCAGGAATATGCTAACTTACATGGCAAAAGGGACTTGGACAAAGAACTTAACCTTGATGAGCAGATTATCCTGGAGAGAAGCTAACAGAGAGTACACAGGTGGATGCGGGAGGAGGACAGAATGGAAGGCTGACGTCTGTTATCTGCCTTTTACACAGAGGAGCGATCACCAGGCAAGAGACACAGGTAACTTAGAGAAGCTAGAAACAGCCTTTGGTCAGCAGGCTGCGAAGAAAGCCCGTGTATCCTACCTACTACAGAAAGGGAATAAATATTGTTGATGTTCCGCATTGGCAAGGGGACAGATTGTCCCCGTCGAGCCCCAGAAAGGAGCATAGCCCAGACGACGTGTTGACCCTCTCCTGAGGAGAGCTGCTAGATGCTCTTCTGACACCCAGAATTGTGTTGTTGTTGTTGTTCTGTGCCGTCGAGTCGTTTGCGACTCATAGCGACCCTATGTAAAACAGCCCTAAACCCTGCTCTGTCCTGTGCCAATCTCATTGCCTCTGACACATCCATCCCGATTACCCCAGTCACTGAATCAATCCATCTCATAGAGGGTCTTCCCCTCCTGCGCTGTCCCTCCACTCCCCAGCATGATGTCCGTCTCTAAAGACCTGTCTCTCCTTACGACATGTCCAAAGTATGTCAGACGAAGCCCCAGAATCCTTGCCTCCAAGGAGCAGCCTGGTTTAATCCTCTCTAGGATGAATCTGTTTGTTTTCTTGGCAGTCCATGGTACATTCAATACTCTTCTCTAGCACCACAGCTCAAAGACGTCAATTCTCTTTCTATTCTCCCTAGTCATTGTCCAACTCTCTGATGCATAACAAGTGATTGCAAAAACCAATTGTAAGGTATTAAATTTGTGTAGTTTAAACCACTAAATGTCAACTGATTTGTCTAGGCAGCAATAGGAAACCAACCTAGCAATCATTTCCATTCATTCACAGTTACTGGTGCTGCACTGTTCTTGCTGTTGCCATGGAGTTGAGTGTGATGTGATAGAGACCTGAGGACACTGTCAAAGTCTAAAATACTTAACAATCGACCTTTTCTAGGAAACACTCATCAGCCTCCTACACACACACACACACACACACACGCACACGCACGCACATGCACACGCACACACACACATGGAGCGAGCTAGCACTTTTTGAGCTCTCATTTGGAGCCAGACTCTGGGCTAAGCATACCGCATTCATAATGACTTTCTGTTTCACATACTGTTTGGTCCCTATTTAACAGAGAGTAAAAATAGAGGCTGAGATATGGCGCAACTGCGCCACGTCGCCTAGGGAATCAGAGCAGAGCAAGGATTGAAATTGGAGCCTGGCCCGTTCGTTTGGTGACTGATGGCACCTCCCAGCGGAGGGCAGATCCCAGATCCCAGTGCTCACCTGAGGCCCTTATCGCTGGCGGAAGGCGATGGGCAGCTCTCGGCTGGGCACCAGGATGCCCAGGTGCAGCATCTCCACGGGCTCGTTGTCAGTGGCCACGATGTTGTACTTGCGGACAATCTGGAACACAGAGGCACACACACGGCAGAGTCACACCTGTCCTCCTGTGACGTGGATTCACACAGAGCACAGCTGTGGACACGCAGGGACAAAGGCTTTATACCCAGCAAAGAGCCAAGTGCAGCTGGAGCTCAGCTAGCCTGCGGCCGATGCACATCCGCTTCCCAACTCCAAATGGGAGATGAGCGAAGGGATTTATCTTCTTCCTCTCTTGAAGCCAGCGCTCGGGTCTAAACTGACGTGAATCCTCGAAATTGTCTTCACTGGACCCCAGCACCTGGGTATTGAGCATCAGCACTGTCTGGAAACACACAAACACATGGCCTTTAAAGACCCCAGAAGAGCGTGTCTGAACACCCACCTTTCCAAAAGTGAGCACCTTGCAAATGTGAAAAAGCACTCACACATTTCTAACAGCGGCGATCACCAAGCATGCGTGGAGAGCGTAAAACGCAGCATGTAATGAGTACGTGAAGACCTGTACGTTTTTGTATCACATTTCCATATGGTGGGTTCGTATTATTATGTGCAGGAGACAGGTGGGCAATCTCCTCCCCTATGATTCCCAGGCTCTGAAAACTTGCTGAAGCATCAGCTATGAGCCAGGATGGCACATAAAACCACATGATTGGACAGACGGAAGAGCTAAGATTCAGAGAGTCTATGGAAGCTGCTCCAGGCTACACAGACTAAAGGGACACTTGAAGCTACGTCTCCCTGTTTCCAGAGACAATATTCCCATTACAGTGCTACGCACTATTCCCATAAGGCTCTGCGGTTGTAGGCCAGAGAACTGGAACTAACTCACAGCTGATCTTCCCACACATTTTCAGAGGCAGTAAATGGTACGGAAGGGGTTTGTTCATTCTTCTCCCAGACATACTGGTCTACAGTCTCCATTTTCAAAGTGAATGCTTGTTTGGTAGAAAGATTTTTGGAAGTCCTGATGACTAGTGAGAAATCATAGAGGTCAAAGCTTTATAAGGTACAGAATATGTGAGTGTTACTTACTCCTTTAGGTAAAGCATATTCGCCCAGAACAGTGGCCTTATCAAGTGTGCGAGTTGTAAATGGCACAGATGGGGTCAGCCTGAAAAGAAAAACAAACAAATAATTAATGATGTCAAAAAGGGCACACACGGAGCTCTGTCCTTGCAGTTAATGTGAATGTCAATTTCAGTTAAAGAAATAAAGGATTGCTGCATAAATTTATACTTAGAAAAAAAATCATCACATCAGAAAGTTCAGTCTCTCCTGGCACTTGAAGCTCTTGCTCCATTTTCTCATCTTACTGCGTTGGCCAAGCCTCTACTACTTAAGGCTGAAGGTTCTGCTCCGACTCGTGGTGACGTCATGGGGTACAGACTCGAGCTACTCCACAAGGTTGGACTGACGTCATTGGTGGAGTCTCTGGTGACATAATCCAGAGGAAGTTTTACTGCTGACCCAAAGGCCAGGCCTCTCTGGGAGCTCAGCAGCAACTCCTTGAGAAAAAGGTGGGCAATCTCCCTTCATAGGATTCACAGCTTCAGAAACCCAGTGGAAGGTCAAGTACAAGTTTGCAATGATGTGGGGTTTTTGTGGTGTTTTTTTTTTCTTTTTCATTTGCTATGGACATGATCACCTGGCCTTCCATTTTGCTGTACCAGTGGGTAGGTTTGAATCTAACCTCAAGTTAATATTTGAATGCACCATCTAATAACCTAAACCTCTACTACAACACTGACTCGAGAGCTCTGATGGCATAGTGGTTAGAAGCTGTGCTGCACTGAGTAAGATGGGTTCAATAATGTATACTGCACTGAAACAGAGGAGGGAGAAAACTGTTTAAAAGAGATATATGACTAGGTATTTCTGTCATCACAGGAGACTAGAGCGAGGGCTACATGGTGGAGGGGACCTGGGGGAGGGTTTGTAAAACAATGAAAGAATCTTTTCTTTTACTTTTCCATAATTTTTGACTCATGTACTTATAACTTGTTAGTTAAATTTGTGTCTTCTAGGTTGCAACACCCCCATGATACATCTTCAAGGATATGAACATGTACGACCAAGCACAATCAATAAGAGTGCATCTAAATTCCAAAATCAATCTCCATAATAGTCTATGTGTTTCCTACTGCCAAAGGGGCCCTTTAGAGTAGTGAAAGAAGATCTTCACCCTGAAACCCACAGTGTCCCTTTTCAGCAGGAAGTAGCTAAGAGAATACGCCATCCCCTTTTCCTTATGACTCAGGGTGAAGTCTCTCTCAGGGAGGAGTGATAGGGAATGGCAAAGGACACACTGACAAAGAAGATTAATCAGAACTGGCTTTGACAAGCACTGTGGCATTTGGACAAGAACAAACTGGGAGGAGGGTAGAGAGAATAGTGCAACAATGAATGAATGGAAACCCAAAATCTCTGTAAATGTTTATGAAAATTAATAAAATATAATTATAGAAAAAAAAAAGAAGAAGCTGTGCTGCAATCCCAAAGGTGTGCAGTTCTAATCTACCAGCTACCTAGGAGTATGGGCAATCTCCTCCTGTGTGTTTTACTGCCTTTGAAAACCCGCTGGAAGGTTTGTGGGTCAGTTCCGACTCCACAGCACACAACAATAATAATGGTTGTTAAGAGTAGTTCTCCTTTATCTCATTCCAGACTTCACAATGTGTATATATTTTTTATGTTTTACCCTTAAGCCTATCTGGTGCTAGGATCTTTGTTTATCCTTCATGACGTTAAAGCTACACCCTCAAGCGTAATCTTTGCCCTAATTTCAAAACTAAACCTTTCCTTTTCATGTTAGGATGGTGTGCATTTTGTTTTCCAGGAAAAGTGTGAAATGAGTTTTGAAATAATATTTTATATCAGAGATTCAAAGCCAAAGATATCTCTAGCTTATCATACTAAACTATAGTTCCCTAGCTAAGCTTGCAACTCAAATCTTTCAATCAGGTTCTTAATCTGAAATGACAGCATCTATTAGAATATTAAGATTACTGCAAGGGTGGGGGAACCACTGGTAGCCCTATGGTTAAGGCATTTGACTGCTAAGCAAAGGTCAGTGGTTCAAACCCACCAGTTGCTGTGTGGAGAAACAATGCAGCCATTCTCTAAAAGAGATGAAAACCAAAACAACTATGAGAAATCCTCTCACCCCAGTAAGAATAGCAAAATTCAACAGAGCAGCAAACAACAAATGCTGGCGACGTTGTGGAGAAACTGGAATTCTTATTCACTGCAGGTGGGAGTATAAAATGGTGCAACCACTATGGAAGGCTGTATGACACTCTCTCAAAAAGTTGCAAATAGCAATACCATTTGACCCAGCAATTCCACTACTGGGAATATATCCTAAATAACATAACTGCCACCCAAGCAGATATATGCACACCTATGTGTATTGTGGCTTTGTTCACAATAGCAAAGAGTTGGAAACAACCTAAGTGCCCAGCAACAAATGAAAGGATAGAGAAGCTGTGGTATATCCACACAATGGAATACTATGCAGCACTGAAAAACAAGGAACTCATGAAATAGTATACAAAATGAGTGACCCTGGAGGACATTATGCTGAGTGAAATATCTCAGTCACAAAAGGACAAATATTGCATAGTACCACTGTTATAAAATGGGGCTGGCATCAGGGTTGGGGGGAGACTGAGAAAGAGGGAATAAATAATGTATACTGCATTGGAACAGATGAGGGAGAGAACTGTTTAAAAGGGATATATGATTAGGTATTAATTGTCATGGCAGGAGTCCAGAAGGAAGGCTGCACAGTGGAGTGGACTTGGGGGGAAGGATTGTATAACAATGAAAGACTTTTGCTTTTCAAAAAGAGCAAACTGGGGGAGGGAGAGGTGGGCAGGGAGAAACATGCAACAAGAAATGAATGGAAATCCAAAGTCTCTGTAAACATTCATTTAAATAAATAATAATGCAAAGAGGAAAGAAAAAGCTGACAGCCTTGGGAACACCATGGTGTGGTTTGTGTGGTTCTATTCTGTCCTATGGAGCAGCTAGGAATCAAAATGAGCAGCGGGTTTGTTTTGGGTTTCATTTCCAAGATTAAATGGGATTTCCTCTAAATGATTTAGGAAATGAGTAATGGAAAGCAAATATAATCCCTGAGTTTCTTTTAGCTGTTTGAGGAATATTTATGCATCAGTTACCGGAGGTGTCAGTGAGTGGGGGATGCCACGCTACATCTTTTGCTGCTTCTTCTTTTTATTGTGAAATGAGTGAAAGTCTGCGAAGAATATACTTTTCAATCATTGATGAACATTTTGCTTTATAACACTCATCTCAGTACCCCCAATTCTGATCATCCACACGTCTTTTAGAGGACATTTTCTGACCAATGCATATCGACGTCAGATATGTTCTTACCTCATAGACTCTTTCAGACAGGCTTTTAAATAAGGCATATTTCTCAAATCTTCTGCCTGGGGGATCTGACTCTCAGGAAGCACTCCTTGAATCTCCTTAAGAAGCTTCTGTTGCACGTGAGGATTGCGGGATAAATTGTAGAGAACCCACATCAAGCTGTTGGCTGTCTGAAAGTAAATGGACATCATACATCTTCGTTTTTGCACCTGCCTGGCGTTAGACCAGGCTCAGCTGAACCATAGCTGATGCCTTGCACTTCACTTTGTAAAACAACGTGACCTTTTCATATGTTTTACATTTGCTGGACCTTGTGTGAACCTAAGAGGAGCTCTTGATGACAAACTGTGTGAGCCGTGCTTCTGACCAAGAAGCAGTGATGTCTGGTGGTTCGAAGCCACCAGCTGCTCCATGGGAGAAAGATGGGCTGTTTTGTTCCTGTTAAGATTCACAGCCTCAGAAGTCTGATGGAAGGAGGGTCGCTATGAGTTGGAATTGCCTCAAAGGCAACATCTAAGTTGATTTTAGTTAGTTCAATAAGCCCCATACATGGCTTATTTACAAAACATATCAAGTGAGGACAGGAATCATTTATCAAAGGAATCAAAATAGGTTTCTTCATTTTTGTGTTGCATGCCGTCAGTGGAACTGACCCATAGCTGACCCTCCAGTGGGTTCGCAAAGGGAGTAAGTTCCATGGGAGCAGGTTGTTCTGCCTCCTCCCACAGAGCAGCTAGTGGGATCGAACTGTGTGCCTTTGGGATTGCAGCACAGCACATGTAAAATACTGTCGGAAACAAAACATGTTTGAACAGAAATGAGTGCACCCAAAGCTGGTGGGATCTGAGTTAGATTGTCAGTTTCTCTGTCAGGATTGTGAACTCTAATTGCTCAAGATACTATACTGGGGAGTCTCTGGGTGGCATAGATAAACACTGGACTGCTACCCCGAAGATCAGCAGTTCAAACCCAGAGATGCCTCAGAGGGCTGACCACCTGCTTTTCGAACACCCTCCAGAACAGCGTGTCTACTCTGACGCACATAGAACCATCAGGAACCCAAAAGAACTCTATGGAAACCAACAATGACCATGACATAGAAGGACAGAAAATTCCAGTAGTTTACAACGCTAAGACATTTCCATCGGGGGAGACAGGGTGAGGCTTAGAGGGAAGTCCTTGCTATCGTTTCTCGGCTGCATAGAATTCTATAATTATCTGAAAACCAAAACATGCCATTAATGACCAACACCATGACACCAGCGAGTAGATTTTCATTGAGGGGGAAAAGCTCAATTAAAGCATGATTGGAGGAGCAAATATCTCGAAACAATGATTGAGTGGAAGAGAAAGATTAAGAAGGACCATCGACAAGATTTACTTCATCAACTTTACAGAGAAAATACACAAGATACTACATTTCTCAAACTTAAAAGATTTCCTTGTCCCACCCAAAGAAAGCGCACGACAATGAGAAGGCATCATGGCTCCAGCCACGCGCAAAGAACCCTTGGTGGAGCGAGGCAGCCCTTTAAGCAGACAGGCTGGCATGCAGTGGAGGACTTCAAGGGACTGCCGAAGGTTTCTGACAAAGGCTTGTGTCCTTGGAAGGGACTCCTTTCATTTCATTTCCAAAGGCAATGGGAAGAGAAAAGAAAAATGCTGGTGTGAGCTGCCAGCGTCGTTTTTAGCTGCGTAATATTCACCACTCAGCAAGCACATTTGTTTGTTTGGACCTGGTTTAGCTCATTTAAACCAAATACCCCCTGGAAATAGTCCTCGTGCCCTCTTTCTGCAGACAAGAAGACGCTGCCGCTAAGTACCAGGTGCCACTTGCACGCACACGAAGTCCAAGATGCTGCCGAGCCAGCGATGCTTATTATTTTTGGAAGAAGATGCCCCCGAGGCCGGCTTCTTCATGTCAGAGGACCCACAGCCTCGGCTGCAAATAAACCATGGATGCCATTATTACGAGAGTCCAATTTACAAAACAGGAAGAGGGAGTAGCCACCAAATTAGATACACTTTCAGATTTCTCTGATTTTTCTAAATGGGCCTTTCAGAAATAGTCAGGGTTTAAAAAAGAAACAGATTGGACTATATCAGTGGGTCCCTCACCACAAGCACCAAATGGAATTTTCAAAAGGCAGATAACTGCAGCCTTCACCAAAGCCGTGTCAGACAGGCTGCCTGTGAGGACAGCTGCAGAGATCACCAGAGAGGAAGTGGAAACCTCAGAGACCGAGCTAACCCGACTTGACCTGCATGGTGGCCTTAAAATTCTAACTGCATGTCCTCTTTCCACTAAGTGCATCTTCACCCAGCCTCCATCTTTCAAAATATCATTTTGATAAGGCTTTGAGCCCCGTAGGAGCTTCCTGTTACAGGTACAGTAAAATAAAAATGCTTTCCTTAGATTCCCAAGTGTTATGTCCTTCTCCAATCTCCACTCCCACAGCGTTTGCTGCCTCTTACTCTCTTCCTTTTTCTGCCCCAGGACATTTGTACATACTCTGTCCTCTTCCTGGAGTGCTCTTCTCATGGTGCCCAGGTGGCTTACTAGGTTACAGGTTAGGCTGCTAACCAAAAGGTCAGTGGTTCAAATCCACACGCCTTCTCATGGGAGAATGATGTGGCTGTCTCCTTCTGCCAAGATTTAGAGCCTTGGAAATCTGATGGACGGTCACCTTGTTGGAAAGGACTCAATGGTAGTGAGAACGAGTTGAGTTCCTTCTTGTAATTCTAGAGTCATCTCTACTATCACTTCCTCAGAAAGAATATGCTGAGTAGTGTTCCTGCTTCCATGGGGAAACGAGGAAGCCACCTTCTTCCATTAAGATCTACAGGCCCAAAATCTTGGTGGAAGGCCACCAGTAGTACAGATTGGATCGATGACAGAGGGTCCGAGTTGGGGTTCTTGTTAACATTTTAGAGTCAGCTCTAAGGTTTCGTCCTTCCATCTGCACTTCTTCTCTCTCTGTTATCTCACTGGTTTCCTCCATGGCTCTTATCACTCTGAAATGACTGTATTTGTTGGCGTGCCTGCTTTGTTTTCTCCACTAGCATGTCAAACCCATGAGGGTGAGGACCTTTGTCTCTGTTTTACGGTGGTTTCCCAATCACCTGCCTAGTGCCTGTCATACAGTAGTCCCTCAATCACTGCTGAATTCTTTAACCTACTCAATATTTCTTTAGTTTATACAACATGCCAGGTATTGTTCTAGGTTCAGAGAATTGGTCAGGGGACAACACTAAGTCATTGTCCTACCGGAGTTCATATTCCAGCTTCGGGGGGTGGGGACGGAGAATGAACTGTATTTTTTTAATCACTGTAAAATCTCTCAAGGTGATCCAAAATGAATCTCAACTTTTGATAGCTTTCTGGAGCACGAGAAGAAATAAGAATCTTAATAAGAAAGAGGAACAGTCTGCTCTGAAACCCAACGACAGTCACCATGCTTCAGAATAGACCTGACTAACAGCCAAGGGTTTTGTTTCTCTCCAGGGTTCTGTTCCACTGAAAACTGGAAGGGCTACTCTCTCTTCAAACAAAAAACTACAGCAGAAGGAAACACGGAGAAGAATCACACTGGTATATATTCTACTTAAAGACTATCAAGTGTGTGGAACATTGGAGTAATGAGGAATATTACTATGCATCGTTACAATGATAGCTTGGAAACGGATCAAAGACAATCATACTCATGTAAATGCTGATGTCAGTGTTTGTGTTTGGGGTTTGGCTACTTTAAATATCTACTAGGACATTCAACCACACTGGAGATGGGATTTTGATATTTTAAATAAATGGTTTCGTTGAAATCAAAAGCAAGTTTTCCCAACTCACTATTTTACAATTTTAAGCAGAGGGAAAAACAATGAAATAAGCTTGGCAGAGAGAATAGTTGCGTATTTTGACAGTAACAGGCATAGCTAGGGAATTTGCGGCCATGTGTGACCACCTAAAATGCATCCTGATTCTTCGCACCTGCCTGGTCTGTCCTTCTTGGTAGGAAGCGATTGTATCTGAACTCCCACACACTGTTTGCATATTCCCCACAGAGCTTATCGTATTTTGTTCTGGTGTTTAGAGTTCCTGAAATGGAGTCAGGTGGCACAGTGATTAAGTATTTTGCCAACAATGAAAAGGTCATCAGTTTGAAGCCACTACCTGCTCTGATGGAGGAAGATGTGACCATCTGCTCCCTCAAAGACTTAGAGCCTCAGAAACGGAGGGAAGCCGTTTTCCTCTGTCCTGCAGGATCCCTGCAGGGCCGTCATATATCAATCAACTCAACAGCAGTGGTGGGGTGGGGCGGTGCCACAGCATTTACATTTGCTGCTTGCAAATGGAAGGTGTAGGAAAAGGCTGATTTTCCACCTTCGGAAAATTATCCATTGAGAACGGACAGCCCTACCATCACAGACGCGGGGTCACCATGAATTGCAGTCAACTGGATGATGCTGGCTTTGGCATCCTCATTCTCCTACCACTTTTTACGTGCAAGGACTGTGCTCTGGGCTCCCCCCAGTAGTGGGGATGAAAGTTCACTTTTGGCCAGATTACCCAACCTTGTGCTATCCGGTCAATTCCAACCCACGGGGCCCCTCCATCAGGTTGTGAAGGGTGTAAATACTTACAGGAGGAGGGCTATGCCACCCGGCTTCCCCCGGCTGAATCGCTGCTCAGTTCATCCTTACGGCGCGCGCGCGTGTGTGTGTGTGTGTGTGTGAGAGTGTTGGTGGCTGACTCCTGAAAATTCATCAGGAAAACCGCGTGTGGAGGAGCGTGCCACCAGCCCAGCCTTACCGTTTCCACAGCCGCCAGCTGGAGCTCGGTGACAGCGGCATACAGCTCTTTCTTTGAGAGTCGATTGTGGTGATAAATGTCACAGAGGAAGTCGGCACTGGGTGTCCCAGAATGCTTCTCTAACTGGCGATCTATAGATGACTTGACTATTGGAAGAGAAAATGGGGGTGAGGTGTGTGGAGACTCAGAAAGTAAGATGAGGACCGGGAAATGAAAGAGAACCCTGACTAAATCCTTCTTGTCATATATACAGATGTCAGTCTGGAGACTAAGGTGTGTCTGATACAGGCCATGGTCTTTGCAATCACTTGCTATGCATCGGAGAGCTGGACAATGAGTACGGATGATAGAAGGAGAATTGATGCTTTTGAGTTGTGGTGTTGGAAAAGAGTACTGAATACACCATGGACTGCTAGAACAAACAAGTTCATTCATCTTGGAGAGGGTGAAGCCAGGCTGCTCCTTGGAGGCAAGGATTCCGAAGCTTCGTCTGACATACTTTGGACATGTTGCAAGGAGGGGCCAGTCCTTGGAGAGGGACATCATGCTTGGGAGGGTGGAGGGACGGCGCAGGAGGGGAAGACCCTCTATGAGGTGGATTGATTCGGTGACTGGGGTATTAGGGACAGGTGTGTCAGAGATGGTGAGATTGGCACAGGATAGGGCAGAGTTTAGGGCTGTTGTATATAGGGTCATTATGAGTCGCAGGCGACTCAACGGCACATAACAACAACAACAACAAATATATATATATATATACACACACACACAAAGATACTTACATACACACACACACACACACACACACACACATATATAGAAAATATGTATTGTCTTAACAGGGACATGGAAGATTTGTGAAATAAGTGAATATGACCCCCTGGTGAAAGCGGCAGGGCGTCTCCGTTGAGAGATCAGAGTGGTTGAATAGGAAGCTGAGCCCAGGCCTTCACGGCACCCAGGGGACGGGGCTGCTGGGCGTGTGTGTGGCCATCGGGGCTGCTGGGCGTGTGTGTGGCCATCGGGGTGGCGATGACTCTCACCTGATTTGAAAATGGTGTCCCAGGCCAGCGTGTGGGCCTGCCAGACCTTGGTGTTGAGGCTCCTGTGCAGCTCCACCGGGGTGACCATCATCCTCCCAAACGTGCTCATCATCTGTGGGGAAGGAACACCGGCCTCTGCACTCCAGTGTCTTTCACCCCAAAGGACAACATTCCTTAGGGGGGAGGCATGTTCCAAACCGCAGCCCCCTTTGTGACCCCAAAGAGCTCTGGGCCCTCCCTGCACTCTCTGCTTTCACCCCGCTCCTAGGACATAGGGAAAGGACCATCTTCCACCGGGTCTGTGGAATCAACAAGCTCATGACTTAGACAAGAGAAATTTTAAAAAATTTCTTTTTTTTGCAGATTCATCTCAATTTCCAATTTTTCCTAAACTTCAGTCATTCTCAAATCAATTGTAATTTCTGCCATTTCCACCTATCACTCAACTAATCAAAATGAGACATTGAGCAGTAAGAAGGAAAGGAAGAGCCTGAGAGACACGGATAGGTGTGATGACCCCAACAATGGCCTTGAACATGGCTGAGGTGGTGAGGAAAGTGCAGGAGAGGCAAGGTTTGGAACCGTTGTTCGTAAGGTCACTGGGTTAGTCAACTCGATGGCCCCTAACAGATTAACAACTGAAAAGACCAACACTCAAATCGAAACATCTTCAGAGTCTTTTAGATGACCCTTCAATGGTCTTGAGCTGAAATATCTACTCTGACTTCTCCTAGCCAAGAAATGAGACTTACAGTGACTCACAGGTCCTGTGTTGGGATTGTCTCAACAGGAGACAGCTGTAAATAAGAAATGATAGGTTTCCTGGTCTTCTTTTATATATGCATGCACGCACACACATACATTACAATGTATAGTTTACTTAGCATTACCATTTAACTATTGACATGAAAGATGTACGGTGACACCCTGAGGGCAATACTCATACCTCTTTGTTACATTTTCAATTACAGAACATCAATTAAGAAATCCAAGTTCCCCCGAAGGTGATGCTTACTGTTTTGATGGCCGTGATGAAGTTCAAAGCCTCATCACCTGCATCCTTCTGCAGGAGCCCAAATCTCTTCTCGTATAACACAAGGCAGATACCTGTGGTTTAAAATAATCACCACTGTTACTCAAACAAAGCCACATGGGAGACTGTGATTAGCTGACTATTAAAGGCTTAGTTCTGCCTCATGAAAGTCTGGTCTTTCTAAGAAAAAAAGAACAAACCCCAAACCACCAGATGTCCAAGAACATAGAAGCTGAGAGAAGGAACATGATCATTCCTCTCTAGAAATGCTCTCCAGGCCACTGGTTCCAGGTTCCCCAGAACATCTCAGCCAGAGATGGACTGACTGGCCCCCACCCCCACCCTGGTCATTTCAAAGGGACAGTAGATGAAGATAAGAAAGACACCACTGGCTCGGGGCTGGGCAATGTCTCTGAACTCAACTGTGATGTCCTTGTCATTTACCAGGTTCTGTTGCGTTAGTGATGAGCAGAGTGAAGCCATTTGTTCAAGAGAAAGAAGGGAAGGAAGGGAACTATTATGGTCTGAACTGTCACTGGAATTAGCCTTCAATGGTGCAAAGAATAAGCACTCAACTGATAACTGAAAGGTTGATGGTTTGAAACTACGCAGTGGCTCTATAGAAGGATTATTCACTGTTTCTATTCTGTCCCATTTTACAACACTCACCACCTGCCAGCAGCCAAGCTCGTACATTTTCTGCTTCCATTTTGTTAACAAAATAGTTTTTTAAAAAACCAAACAAAAACAAACCCAAAACACCTCCCCCCCAAAACATGCAAAATCTTATTTTATTTTGAAAATTTTTGTCTATCTCTGCAAACGTTGAAAGAACAGTGTAATTCTTTTAATTTTGAGAGTATGCAATTCCTGTACACTCTAACTCAGGCGCAACAGTTGTTAACATTTTATCAGTTACTGTCTCTGTAAATGTACATCTAAGTTAATATGTATGTGTATGTACTAAACAATTTGGAAAAAATACATATAATTGACTCTTAGACAGTATAGTTTGAAAATTATTAGTTATATGTTTATTCGTAGTCTGTTTATGCCTATGATTCTGACTAGTTGTACAGTAATGATATATGTTTTCCTTCAAAGCTAAACTTAAGTAAAACAACCAATAAAAAAAATGCTACTTAACTGAATAGGACAGGTAGGTAGTATATGCAGTTCTAGGAAATATTGTGAAATATTCAAGAACATTTGACATTTGGGAAATCCTGAGGTGGTCATTACTTAGCTGAAAGAAATGTACGTATCAAAACGAAGAAACTGCATTCTCATTTGAGTGCCTCGGTTTCTCAGTAGCCAGACAGTGAATTTTATAAAGTGTATTCAGCAGGATAGATGGCGGCTTAGTAGGGAGCTGTGTTCGGGGGGCAGCAGAACTTCTCCACCTAGAAGGTCGAGGGTTTCTAAGACACTGACGTGACCAGGCGCCACACTAGAGAACTGCTCCTCAATCTGTGTGGTAGGCGATCTGAGCCCACCAAACACAGTCTCTGTACAAAGGTAGCTATTTCTTACACGGAATGACTTGGCTCTGCTTGGTTTTCGCTTTGCCAGAGTTTAGCACTGACATATGGAGCATGGTAAGTATTAATCCTCAACAGTAAATCAGGATGGATGGAGGTTAAGACTCTGAGGATGGCCGTGACCTGACTTCCCAGCTTGCCTCGAGGCAGCCCAGTGACCACATGACTCATGCTCAGCCCAGGACACCAAACGGCAAGTACTCTGTTGCCTTCTTGCTAGAGGGTGGTGATGCAGCTGGGTTAGACCTCTACCCTCTCTCCTTCCCGTGCAGCCCAGAAGGCAGAGGTTAAGCCAGGATCTGAGGAAGCTGTCTTGTAGGATGACGGACAAACTCAGGTTACTGAACGAAAAACGTAGGACGAGCCTGGGCCACTGTCTGCTTCAGAGAGCAAACCCAAGCCCTTACAAGAACCTGCCATCCTTGGTGACCTGGGGCTTCTGTCCTTTTTGACCTTTGCTCTTCCTATCTCAGACCCTTGGTCATCACCGTCCACTCCCACCAGCCTCTGTGAGGATCCTCTAAGGTGTCACCCATGCTGCCATCATGGACCATTTATGCTTCCTGTCTCCTCTGCCTGGACCACTTCTCCGGGTCTGGCCATGGCTGGAACCTTCCTCTGCTTTAAATCTCAACGTAAATGTCACTATATCCTGGAGGACCTGCCCCTTCATGCTTTTTTTTTTAACTCATACGCTTTTCTCTTTATCCCCTGGCAGAGTCTGTATGAAAATGTGTAGACTGGGGTTCCTATTAGACTATAACTCCCCCAAGGACATGCTCAAGGTGAGGATGTATCCCTGGCACCAAGCGAAATGCAGGACCCTTACTTAGCAAGTTTGTTTGTGTGGACAACCCACAATGCAAAGCAGAGCTCCAGAGCTTGAAACAGTCATTCCTGGCAACATGCAGATCGTTCTTAACCAGCAAGGGTGTGGAATTATGGAAAAACTATCAACAAAGCCACTCTTGGTCACAGTGTCACGTTCGAAATCAAATGAACACGTTTATGAAGACAGCTTACTTTCAAATGACCATTTGTTCAGTTCACTATATAAGTCTTCCACGCAGCCTCTCTCGTCACAGAGTTCATCTAGTCTGCCCATGAAGTCGGCCAAGACCTTCAAAGGAAGCAAGCAGAAAAGATGTTTTAAAATCAATCAAGGGGGGAGGAGGTGAAGAAGTCTCAGTGGTCTAACTTTGGATTTTGCCACATTGTTTATTCACTACCCCAGACATCATTTCTTCCAAAGTAACCAACTATCTTGTAACTAATTCTGTTTTTTTCTGGGAGGCCCCCTGTCTGCTAACAACCTTGTCTTGGGTTATTTCCCAGTGTTTCCTACAAACATCCTGAAGCTTAAGTTTCAACTTCTGATCTCCAAATCATAGTGGCAATGTAAGAAAAAGGCTTCTTCCAGGGCCTCAGGGTGGTTTATTCGGCTCTGTTCCTCTGCTGAGAATGTGTATTTCCACTCTAACCTGGATCGGAGTCTGTAATGACTCAATGTACACATGATTTTTATGAATACATGGGATGGCTTTCCCTGCCTTCCCTGGCTTGCAGCCTCTTGCTCATCCAGCAAACTCTGCCAAAATATCGTCACTTAAATAATCCTCAAAACCAACAGGCGAGTGGGGGAACTGTACCTCCATTTTACAGATTGGAAAACTAAGTCCAGGCTACATGGCTAGTGGGTGAAAGGCTGGGGCTCAACTCCAAGATGATGGAATGCTCATTTTAGCGTTCATAGTTGCACCATCAGAGGTCAAGAAACGAGGAGTAAAGGTTTGGGGATTGGAGGGGAGGGGAAAAGGGAATATGCAGAGGAACGGGGGAAAGAAGAATTCTCTAAAATGTCTGATTTTATTTCTTCACTGGCTAGCTGTTACTCAAAGTTCTGTGAACCTCCCTTGATCCCCAGGAGCCCTTGGAAAGTTGGCCCCAGCCTGCAAACCTCATTGATTTTGCTGTCCAGCTTCATAATTTCCACTGGTTTCATCAGTTTCTTTTGAAAGGCACTCCGGACCCTCTGCCAGTCCTCTCCTTCCCTGGAGAATGGAGTAGAGTTACAGTTAGGGCAGGCTGCAAGGAAACACAGGGCAGGCTGGAAGGAAACACAGTTAGGGCAGGTTGGAAGGAAACACAGGGCAGGCTGGAAGGAAACACAGGGCAGGCTGGAAGGAAACACAGGGCAGGCTGGAAGGAAACACAGGGCAGGCTGGAAGGAAACACAGGGCAGGCTGGAAGGAAACACAGGGCAGGCTGGAAGGAAACACAGTTAGGGAAGGCTGAAAGAAAAGAAAGGAGAAGCAGAGGTGTCTACTGCATCAGTATCAGCATCAGCCAGGCAATCACACGGAGACCTGAGCCGAGCAAACCCTGGCATCTGGGCTGGCTGGATGAGAAGTATGGAAACGGACCTTCCTCACCAGCCAGCTTGTACCCGGAAGGTGAAGTCTCCTCATTGGGATTCAAGGCTTAGGGGGACACCCGGGTGTGTGTGGAGCCAGGAGCTAGGCAGCCAGGGATCGCTCCAGTCAAATGGGCATGTGAACATTCCCTTACAGCAAGCCAGGACTATGTGAGTTCAAACCTGGGCTTCTTTCCACCCCTGGGTTCACACTTCATAGACACCAAACACCTCGAGTTTAGAATTCTGCCTATACTCCAATTCCAATCACAACAAATCACAACATTCCCCAATTTGTGAAGTTTTTAAAAAAACCAACCAAACAAAACATGACAAACCAGTTCTCATCAAACATTCTTACTACATGTGCCCCGTGGCCGGACACTGAGACTGCTGATGAATGGAACGTTCATGCTTTCAAACCTCAGTAACAGTGTGAAAGATAACAACCGTGGGACACTTTGGAGCCAGGTAAACAGAAAGTGTTACTTGTAACAAACACCAGTGATTAAGCACAGGGTCATCACACCCTGAGGTAGTTTTATCTTTCTAAAATGCATCCTCCTCTCGTGCCATCTTTCCAACTTCATCTGAGACATAACTGCAGAATGGGGAGCCACGAGGGGGTTGGAGGGAAAGGGAAAGAAGGTCAATGTCAAAAGCAAAAGCAATTCATTTCTAGCTTCTGCATTCCAAAGAGCCCAGGTCGTGAGGCTTCAGGGGATTTTAAGGGATATGTTTTACTTGCATGAGCTGTGTGCCTGGATGGCTGACTTCAGAAGCCCATGCAGCCCAAGAGCCCCACACCACCGCTTGCTGTGACTCTTGAGCTCTTGTTTGATGGAAAGGCATAGCTCCGCCTCCTTGTCAGTGAGAAGGTAGGTGCCTCTTAGTTCTGGCGCAAACCACCCCAGTCCACATGCAGCTCCGGACTACACAGGATGGGGACTTTGGGATTCGCTCTTGCACAAAAGTTAGGGAACCCCTAGCTCCCACCCCTTTCTAATTCCCCGGCACGGCAGGTCCTGTCCCCTGTCCCACCCTGCTACCTGGACTCACAAGATCAGCAGGCCATAGCCCTCCTGGCGGTAGTCGCGATAGGCTTTCCAGGGTTTGATCTCCAGCCTCTGGGGGTGCGCGCTCTCCGTGCGGTACAGCGCCTCCAGCAGGCACGGTGAGCCCAGGTGCACCGAGTCAAAGGCACCCAACTTCATGCGGAAAATCTTGCCGTACTTCTTGTGGTACTCAGCCTGCAGCCGGAGGGAACGGGGCCGAGTTGGCGTGCATCCCCACGGCCATGGGACGCTGCTCTCTCCTCCCGCCTCCTTCCTCCCCAGCATCCGGGTGCTGTTTCCAGGTCTCCAGAGCGTACTGTGCGCCCAGGGCGCACGCCACCGGGAGAGCCTGGAGCGCAGGGAGGGCGGGGCGGAGAGAAGGGAGAGGACTGGGGGGAGGCAAGGCAATTTACCAACGTGTCATGCTGTTTCTTGAGGCCTCCTTTCCAGAGAATCTCCAGCAGGCTGCCCACAAGTGGCCAGTTGGTGGGGCCGGGCAGGGTGGTCGTGTTGGGCGCCTCACCAAGAGCCCTTGAAGGACAGAGGGGCACCTCCGGGGGCTGAGAGGGCGCGCATGCCGTCGATGTCATGGGTCTAGGGGGCTGCCAGAGGCCTCGCAACTGCTGCAGGAAGGAGGCCAGGGGGTGACTCCTGCTGATGCGGGACCTCATAGTAGCGGGGAGGCCCTGCAAGTGGGGGTGGGAGCCCTGGGCAAGGAGAGGGTGCTAGAGAGATGCCGGCAGGATTGAGGGGACTTCTGGCTCCAACCAAGTGGAGCAAAAGGGGCCCGCAGATGTGATGGAGAAGCTGGGGAGAGCGGGAAGCAGGGAGGATATGGCCAAGGATGCTGGAAGCTGTCCCAGGGTGGCAACTCCAGGCGTTTGCTTGGCTGCACCCAGGGATTGAGGAGCACAGCAGGGCTGAAAGACTAGGGGAAGGGATGGGGGGCTGTCAGTGGTCTGTCTGCAGGTCTCCTTCTAGGGTCTGGAGGTGCGGGTCGAGCTGTCAGGGAGGATGCAAGAGGTGGCTGGTCCTACTCTGCGCTCCAGTCCCTCTCCAGAAGCCCATGGCCCCACGACCATGTATTTATGGCAACGGAGCGGCCCGGAATGTCCAATGGGAGCGCTGAGCCAGGCGGAGTGGGCACGGGCTGGCCAGGCCCCCGGGGAGGGGACGCAGGATGCGCGAGGGTGTGGAGAGGTGGAAAGGGATGGAGTCAGCGAGGTGAGTGAGTGCACCCGCACCTCGGGTGACCGTGCGACTCCACCCCGGAGATAACCCCCCACGGGGCCCGGGTTCACTGGGTTGCAGAGTCTGCCCCAGCCGCCCTCTCCAGGCACAGCCGCCGGTGGTGGCCGCTTGCACAATCCACTGCAGGGCGGCGAGGTCTCCGAGTGCGGCCCTGGAGGCTGCCTGCCAGGACCAAGCGCCCGCGCCTCCGAGCCCGAGCCCGAGCCCGAGCCCGCTCTGCCTCGGCTGGGCTGTGCATCTCGCTCGGTGGAGAGGACTGGACATCAACCACCCGAAAACAGGATGTTCACCTTTCCCCTTCTCACCTGAACCGGGCCAAGGATCTGCAGTCTTTGCAGTGCAGCCTCCCTAGCTGTTCCACGCTGGGTTTTTCTGGAGTTGGAATGAATGAGTCTGGACATGAGTAGGCCTTTGTTCATAGACGTAAAGGAGGTTGGTGGGAACCACGGTGGAAATGGGAGCCCTCAAGGAGACCTCTGGTGGTGCGTCCGAAGCCAGTGGCGATGTTAACCCAAAGGCGCGCTTCTCCATCAGACAGGAAGGTTGGTAGTCCCCTCCTGTCACATACACAGCCTCAGGAACCTAAGGAGGTGTCCCCTGTGACACAGAACATACACCAAGGCCCTGAGCTTGAGGTTTGAGTTTGCACAATTCTAGCTCTGGTGGCTTAAGGTAAGGAGATGCACTGCCAACCCAAAGGCAGGCAGTTCAAGTCCACCAGCTGCTCTGTGGGAGAAAGGTGGGCAAGCTCCTCCCGTCAGATTTACAGCCTCTGAAAACCCACTGGAGAGTCAGGCAGGAGTCAGTTCTGACTGGATGGCACACAACAATGGCGACAACCAGCAGCAGAAGCAGTAGAAGGAGAAATTGCAGTACTAGCAATCCAACCAGTAGTAGACACAGCTCTGGTGGCCCTAGTGGTAAGAAGTTGCACTGCATTCACAAAGGCACATGGTTCAAATCCACCAGCTGTTCCTTGAAAGAAGGATGGACAATCTCCTCCCATGGGATGTACTGTCTCTGAAACCCCGCTGGAGGGTGAGCAAGGAGTTGGCAAAAGAAGCAGCTGTTCCAGAAGGCGCAGTCCATCCCCTTCTTATAGGCCTCACTCTCCTTTCTCTGTTCCTCCAGGCGAATGGAGACCAGATACTGAACCCTGGGTGGCTATGTGCAAGTTTTTTGGTTGGTTTGTTGGGGTTTTTTTAAAAATTAATTTTAATGAACCTTTACAGAGACTTTGGGTTTTCATTCATTCCTTGTTGCGCTTTTCTCCCTGCCCACCCCTCCCCTCCCAGTTCACTCTTCTCTTTGAAAAGTAAAAGAAAAATTCTTTCATTGTTATACAATCCCTGCCCCCAGGCCCACTCCACTGTTCAGTCTTCATTCTGGACTCCTGTCATGACAATAATACCCAAGACCTCAGATACTTGCTATGCAGGGAACTAGAGAAAGAACTGAAGCCCCCAATGAATGCATTATAGCTCACTTCAGGGACTTGTCTCCTCAAACCAAGACCCCGAGCCTCCAAACCAAGAAACCAGATCCCACGAGGTGGTTGGCTGTACATAAACAGCCCCAGCTCTGGTCGTTGTGGTTGTGGCTGTAAATATATCGATCACATAAGAGTTGCCAATTTGGCACTTACAGAAGAACAGCTTACTGACAGCAATTACATTATTCAGCCTGCCCTTAATGAATGGAACAATTTTGTCATCATCAAATGAATCTCACTGCTCCATAGCGAATCACCTTCCTTTCTCCTGCACTCAAACTTCTGGCACTGTTAATAATAAGCTTTGATCTTTATGTATTTTCTCTTGCAAACTTTTAATTTCTTCCTTGAAAACTCAGCCTGAGTTTGAGCACTATTGTTTCAGAGGTTAGTGACTGTCTTAACAAAAGTAGTAGTTATTTACGCATGATACAGTTTACGTAACTTTATATGTCGTATATACAGCACACACTGTGTAACATATAACATATACCATCTATTATCCTGGGATTCTAGGCCTTTGAATTGGTCCTGACTCAGGTCCTTGTGTTATAGAACTTTTTACTGGCTGATTTTCAGAAATATTTCCAGCCTCTTCTTCCTATGGTTAGTAGCAGAGTCCAGGACCTCTTTACCCCAGGAAAAGGATGTCGTGCTTGGTCAGGTAGGGGACTGAGGAAGCTCCTGGACAAGGTGGAGTGCTGCGGTGGCTTGTCACAATGCACTCACACGCCGCAATGCTCATGAGGGTGACGCAGGGCTCAGCAGAGCTTGTTCTGTTTTATGTGGGGTCCCTGTGTGTTGCTGGTGGAACCTAACAACAACAAAAGTTATAAGGTGGTTGTTGTTGCTGTGTGTTGTCAGGTCAGAACCAACCCATAGCTGATCCTCCAATTGGGTTTTCAGGGGCAGTTAATCTCATGGAAGGAGACAGCCCAACCTTCTCCCTTGGAGCAGCTGGTGGATTTGAACCATGTACCTTTGAGATTGCAGTGCAGCCTCTTACCACTAGGCCACCAGAGTTATAAGGTAAACACATAAAAACTTTTTAATGCTTATCATAAACCAGGTATTGAGATAGATATTTTATATAGATTTGCTTACTGAATTCCCACCCAGGCCAAGTAAGAAAGAATCTGAAACCAGAAAGTTAAATAATTGACTAACCGCTAACTAGTTAACTCATGACCTGGTGAGATTCAGACCCAGAATGTTCTCACTCTTGCCTGGGTCCTTCTCGCACATCCACACAGACACGAAGCTGTGTGCTCTCAGCCTTTCTGATATTAGGAATCTCTCACAATATTGGAAATATTACTCAAATGGGAGTTTAGGATATTTTTAGCAATCGCTTAAAGAGGTTGTGAATATTTAACTTAGAAATTTTAAATATTATTTACATGTCCTCAAAGGAGAAATGAATCAGAATGGCTACCCATGGCAGCGGCCTTGTGTGGGGGCCACCAGTTGCCAGAAGTCCATTCTTGCAAGAAATTTGCTCCTGACGGCTTTCAGGGTTGTAGGCTTTTGGAAGCAGGTTACCAGGCCCTTCTTCTGCAGTGCTTCTGGTGGTGCGTAACAATTTGTGCTGCTCAGGGGCTCCAATGGCGTGGGCCAGCACAGCACAAGGACCATTAAGATGTACTGATGGTTGTGACTAAAATTCAGCCCCAAACAGGAGATCTCGCAGTCCACCGCTGGGTGCCTTGTATCTGGAGTTGTGCCTGGTGCGTAGAGTGCTCAAGAAATGATCCTTCTTATGGATACTTTCAAGGCATCCGGAATTCTGGTGTGGTACAGTCCCCAGGGGGCTGTGCGGTTAACCTAGAGATGAAGAGATGACGCACCTCCAACGGTTCAAATCCACCAGCGCCTCTGAAGGAGGAGGACGGGCAGGCTACTCTCTTGTGATTCGCAGCTTCCAAAACCGCGCTGGAGGGTCGGCTGAGTGGGCTGTGACCTGGCAGCAGTGAGAGTAGTGACAACTTGATGGGTTTATTTTTGTCTTTGTTCTTTCTTTTCTTTCTGCTTCTCCAGATGTGCCCTAGAAAGAAGGGGGAAGGATTTCAGAGAAGCAAGGTTTTCATGTAAGTTTAGTAGTATGTTGCTTTAGGAGGCAACACAGCTCATCATGATAGGAACTTTCATAGGCACCCCTGAGTCTCCTAATGGCCAGCAGGAAAATTCCTATTTCAAAAAGCGTATCGCGATGGGAAAGTCTGCTGTTAGGGACCTCTCTAAAGTACTCAGGAGCAACGGTGTCTCTCTGGAGACTAAGGTGCGCCTGATACAGGTCATGGTCTTTGCAATCGCTTGTTCTGCAACAGAGAGTTGGACAATGACTAGGGAGGACGGAAGGAGAGTTGATGCTTTTGAGCCGTGGTGCTGGAGAAGAGTATTGAGAATACCATGGACTGCCAGGAAAACAAACAGATTCATCTTGGAGAGGATTAAACCAAGCTACTCCTTGGAGGCAAGGATTCTGGGGCTTCGTCTGACATACTTTGGACATGTTGCCAGGAGGGACGGGTCCTTGGAGAGGGACATCATGCTTGGGAGGATGGGGGGACAGCGCAGGAGGGGAAGACCCTCTATGAGATGGATTGATTCGGTGACTGGGGTAATTGGGATGGGTGGGTCAGAGGCAGTGCGATTGGCACAGGATCGAGCAGAGTTTAGGGCTGTTGTACACAGGGTCGCTATGAGTCGCAAACGACTCGACTGCACATAACAACAACAACAATGGGAAAAGGTCCAATAATTTTAGGCCAATGTGCAGAGGAGAACAAGACTGAGTCTTTAGAGTCATTGATGTTGATGCACGCCCAACCTCAGTGCTCTTTCTGTTGTTAGGTGCCACTGAATCGCTTCCAACTCACATGTACAACAGAGTGCGACATCGCCAGGTCCTGAGCCAGCCTCCCAGCCGCCGCTGCTGCTGCGTGGGATTCCGCTGCTGCTGCCACCGTGTCAGTCTGTGTTGTTGAGCGCCTTCTCGGACCTGCCTCTCTTCCAAGAACGACGACTTAACTCCCGGCAACTGGCTCTTCCCGGCGACGTGTCTACAGTATGTGAGAACCATCCTTACTTCCAAGGAGCGCTCTCGTTGAATTTCTTCCAAGATAAATTTGCTTGTTGTTCTCACGGTCTTTGGTATATTCGATAGTCTTCATCAAGACCATAATTCCAAGGCATAGATTTTTCTTTGCTCTTCTTACTGTTTCCTCCACATTTGCATGAATAGAAAGGGATTGAAAATACGAAGGCCCGGGTCAGGCCCACCTTAGTCTTCAAAATGGCAAAAGGTCTTTGCTTTTTTTGCTTTTTTAGCACTTCGAAGGGATCTTTTGCAGCTGATTTGCCCAAGGCAGTGTGCCGGTGAGATGCAGATGCCTTTGAAATGCCTGTTTTGAGCCCTGTCCTTGGAACTCTGGGCCTCTTCTTGGCTTCTGCCCTCCCTCATTACTTACGGCCATGACTCACACTGACTTGGTTGGGGAATTCCTAATAAGAGAGCCTGAAGATCCTTGTAAATGCTATTCCCGAGACAGGCCCAGACCTTCCATGGTGTTCCAGGAAGCCATGTTCTGGGATGGCTAATTCTATTTCTGCTCCAGCCCTCACAGCAAGCAGCCAGAGAAGATGATTGAGTCTACGGTGTGTACACAGTCTGATGAGGGTGGGGTGGAGAAGCTGCAGGAGGTGGGAGAGCAATGACTGAGTTCTCCGTACCGGAAAGTACAAAACCCTGTCAAAGGGAAGGTCCCGGGGTAGTGCAAGTGGTTGGCACTTGAATACAAGCCTAAAGGTTGGTAGATCAAACCCAATCTGGTTGCATCATGAAAGAAAAGTCAGGAAATCTTCCTCCACAAGGATGAGAGGCTAGTAAACCCTATAGAAGAGTTTACTCTGCTTCCTGGGGTGGAGATGCCAGGAGCCAAGAGGCGACTCCATGGCAACCAGTTTCAATAGAGTTGTTTGCTTAAGCAAGAAGTCACTGAATGGCACACAGGTGGTTAAACATTCAGATACTATCTAAAAGGTTGGAATTTCAGATCCACCGAAAAGTGCCTTGCAAGAAAGGCTTGGTCATCTGTGTCTGAAAGGTCAGGGTTTGACTTTGGAACACACAGGCCATCATGAGTCAGAACTGATTTGATGGCAACTGGCTTGTTACTTGTTTTCTGGTGCTTCAAAGTCTTGGATAAACTTGATGTGAGCCTTAGATCTTTTTATTTTTTCCTTTGTGACTGTGATGTCTTGGAAAACTTATTTTTCACACCTGTCAAATAAAGGCTGTTACAACTAACCCGAGTGAAGCTCCGACAGCCTAGAAAGAGGAACAGTCATACCAGGTAATCTCATGAATGCCAGAAGGTTCTTTCGATGCCTGGATGACAAGGCTTCCTCTCTGCTACTTTGAGTAGTGATCAGCCAGGAAGAGGACATCATGGGTGGACAAGCAGAGAGCCAGCAGTCAGCAGTCAGCGACGGTCAGACGAAGAAGACTCTGCAGAGGATGTAAGCATGATGGACAGACAGACGGACTGCGGCAGTAAGCTTGAACACAGCTGGAATGGGGAGGATGGTGCGGAATCAATCAGGAGTCCGTTCTATCGTCCACAAGATCATTGTGAATCACAGTCGATGCAACAGCGTCTACCAACTACAACAGCTGACTGGACATTAATTGTAGGGACTGCAGTTGGAACCAACTCATAGCTAGCTCCAGCTGGGGTTTTCAGAGGCTGTAAATCAAGTGAGAGGAGACTGCCTGCCCTTCTTCTTTGGGTCTACTGGTGGATTCCATTTCATAGAGAAGTTAACAGCTCAGCTCACTGTGGACAATACCACCAGTGCTCGGCACAGAAAACACCCATCTTTGTCACATCAATTCTGAAGCATGGTGACCACACACCACAAAGCAGAGCGACCTGACAGGGTTTCTGGGGCCGTAAGACTTTACAGAAGCAGACTGCACACCTTTCTCAGAGTGGTTCGTGGGCTCAGACCACTAAACTCAGGGTTAACAGGTGAGCGCTTTGACCACTGCCCCACCTCATTGGCAGAGAAACCACTGGTCAAACAACCAGCTCACATGCACACCCATGCTTTGTTCACAATAGCAAGGAGTTGGAAAGAACCTAAGTGCCCATCAACAAATGAATGGATAGAAAAGCGGTGGTATATTCACACAATGGAATACTGTATTGAAAAACAAGGAACTCATTCAAAATGGGTGACCTGAGTGAAGTATCTCAGTTACAGAAGGACAAATACTGCATAGTGCCACTGTTGTAAAGCGGGACTGACATCAGAGATGGGGGAAACTAGGAGGGGATAAATAATGTAGACTGCATTGAAACAGATGAGGGAGAAAACTGTCTAAAAGGGATATGTGATTAGGTATTACTGTCATGACAGGAGTCCAGAATGAAGGCTACATAGTGGAGTGGACTTGAGGGGAGGAATTGTATAACAATGAAAGAATTTTTCTTTTACTTTTCAAAGAGAAGAGTGCACTGGAGGGAGGATTGGAAGGCAAGAAAAGTGCAACAATGAGTGAATGGAAATCCAAAGTCTCTGTAAATTTTCATTGAAATTAATAATTAAAAAAAAATAAAAGAAACCCAAAACAACCAGCTCATGACATTACTGCATGCGCTGGGTTTTGGGGCTTCATAGATGGGAGGTGACTTCTATGAAGACGTGTAGCCAGCGTGTACCAGAGAGGCAAAGGCGGTAAAACTTCGTCCCATGTGCTTTGAGCATGTTGTTAGGAGCGGGCCTGTCCCTGGAGAAAGACATCACACCCAGAAAGGCAGGAAGTCAGCCGAAGAGAGGAAGACCTTCAAGGAGACGAAGTGACCCAGTGACTTCAGCCGTGGACGGGAGCATGACAGTGAGAGCAGAGCAGACAGGGCAAGTTTCCAGTCTGCCCTTCACAGGGTCGCTGTGAGTCACAGTCAACTCGGTGACCTCTATCAACAACAACAGCAACAACTATACTTTGTATTCACCTTGATACAGGTTGTAATTTCTGCTCTGGAATCAGAATAACTTAATGGAACTGTGAGTTCAAATCCCAGCTCAGCCACTTAGCAGCATGGTAAATCAGGGACAATTTACTAATCTCCCCAAGTCTTTGTTGAGGACAGGTCATTGCAAGTGCCCAGCGTATGCAGTGAAACTGTGAGAGCTGGATTTCAGTGAGTCAGCCTCATTTTTCCAGGTAGCCTACCTTTTCTGTCTCTGACAGGGCGCAGTCTTACCGTATCTATTGCTTGTTTGAGGGGAAAATATCTGGATTTTACCTTCTGACAGGTTCCTGCCTTGTAGAGATGCTGGTTTTGCAGGTTTTACTGGCTTTCCGGAGGTAAATGCTCTGAAATAGTCACCATTGATGAGAAGACACAGGAGAGGTGGATCCTGGGAAAGGGAAGAATCTGTGGGACAGGACTTCACACAGTGGTTTGGGGGAACTGGTGAATCGGAAATTTAACGGAGCACGTTCGTTTCCCACTCAACCTGTGGTACAATTTTGCTTCCTGTCATGACAATGCCCCAAGGACACAGTGCTCCTCCCACCCCCTACCTTGGTTAGCCATGTCTCTTCACCCCACAGTTTAAAAAAGAATTTAAAAATAAACATATACCTTAAAAAGAAAAAGCAACATAAGAATTTGACTCTTGTCTCCTTGTTTTTGTTTTTCTTTCTTACAGTATGTGGCATGGTGTTGTTTACACAGGCAAGCACCCAATAAACAAATAATAGGTGATTGAATATTATTTCCTCATTCCCACGTGCAGAGAGGAATGTCTGCATCAGTCTGCCCTCTGTTTTCTCAGAAGTTGCTGGTCAGTCCTAGAGAATGTCTGTAGATGCCACATGGAAGGCCTTTCTAGAAGGCAAAATTACTGAATTGGTCTCAACGCCTTGGAGCAAAACTGGGATTCCACCATTCACTAGCTCTGTGGTGTCAGGCAAGTTACTTAACCTCTCTGAGCCTCGTTTCCTCGTGCACTGTAGAGTCAGAACCAACCCACAGCTGACGCTCCAGCAGGTTTTCAGAGGCAGTTAATCGCACAGGAAGGGATTGCCCATCCTTCTCTCATGGGGCAGCTGGTGGCCTTGAACAGCCTGCCTTTGGGATTGCAGCGCAGCTTCTGGCCTCTAGGCTCCCAGAGCTCTATGCAGTTCAAATTCACGAGCTGCTTCTCAGACTGAAGAAAGATGGGCAATCTCCTCCTGTGTGATTTACTGTCTCTGAAAATCAGCTGGAGGGTCAGCTACGAGTCTGTTCCAACATAAAGGTACCTAACAACAACAACAATAAGCAATGATGCCAGTTTAAGACTAAAGCACACCTGATGCAAATGGTTTCCTCAATCACTTGCTTTGCATCTGAGAGTTGGATAATGGCTAGTGATGACAGAAGAATAGAGACCTCTGAGTTGTCCAGTACAGAACAATACGCCCC